CCTGGTACACATTTTAACAAAGAATAAAATGTAATTTCAAAAATTAAATATGCATATCAAAAACAATAGTTTTTATTAGAATAACATATAATAAGTTGTTATTTTCTATTTTTACACAAACAAGTTTGGAAACAGGATTTAGCCCTCCAGCTTGATGTCATATTCCATTTATTTGGATATTTCAATAAAAAATGTGAAATAATAATTCAATCTTGTGCAAAATTTGATACCAACACACATGTAAACAGATATTATCACCTAAAAATAAAAGAAAACAGAATCTAAATTTATCATCTAATGCTATGAAAAAAATCTTAGATACTACAGGCATATAGTGAGCACAATTCTTTGACAAACTCACTAAAATAAGTTCAGTTATGCTATGATAAGAGGGTGGCAATATATGACAACATCAAATGTCACCATATTCAGTGTCCAAAAAAAGTGCCGCGCGCATTTTTCATGGTCGCATAACTGGTATTGCCACAAACCCAGGTAAAAAAGCAATTAGAAAAACCTGGTTTGGGATGATGAGCATAGTCAAATTCTTGACTTATACAACTTTCTAAGTTTTTCCAGGTAAACAGATTCAACATTGAAATAAGCCCCATTCGGAACCTCGTAGAAACCAAAATATTGTGTATGGACCAGATTTTTTTCAATTTTCTGTGATTTACATGACACTAGTTATAATTTAAGGGTCAACCAGTATTGTTCAAGACATATCTTCCTTCCAGAACACCTTTTCAAAATACTAACCCAAACATGTCAAAAATAGTGCACATTTACAAGGGCAATTTCAACCCTTTGGCACATTTTTCCCATGAATGATTTTAATTCTAATAAAAAGACTACAGATAAAGCTTTGATTTAAAGCTAGTTTCAAGTGATGAGCATACCCTAATTTTTAAGCTAAACCTCAAGGAAGATATATAGGTCATTTCAACATAAACATTGAAATATGGGTATACTGACAACTCTGTCACACTTGTAGTTTGGCATTAACAGCCCTTCTGAAACATTTTAATGAAAATATAATTCACAAAATTCACATTTTCACTTACTTCTTAACATCTGTTTTAATCCACCTAGCTCTGTAGGCACGAGCAAAATCTAGTGTTGATGTAAATATCCATTTAGTTCATGTTTCCCAGGTGAAAATATAGTCTATTCCAAAGCTGGATTTCGACATACTTTAGCTTTTCAGAAACCGTTGGCCTTCCTCAGTAAGATTATCAACTGTTTCACAAACATATTTGATAGAAAACAGCTAAAATATTCTCTGAAAGTCTGTATTTTTCACTCTGCGACGCGAAAATGGGAACTCGAGAAGAAATGAGCCGCTATTTTTGGTCAGCGTCGACAAATTACCCACCTGTTCAGGTGACCTACTCGCCAAGGCGATTTTCAGTAGGGACCTGGTACGATATCATAAAAGTGAATACAATAAAAATTACAAAAGTTAATTAAATAAAAATAAATCTATCACTAAGACTTTTAATACGTTCGTAGACAATTCTAAAAACAATTGTTTTTAAACAATTCTAAATCGTAAATCACTGCAAATGTGTTTTAATAAAAAATATGTTGTAACTTATGTTTGACATTAGAGAATACAGACCACATGATAAATTTGATAAACAGCTTTAATTGTGTCATTGGCTTTACTGTAATTTGTTGATCGATGTTCTTATAGTAATACGCGAGAAATCAGTTTTACGTTCTTTAATTGTGAAATATAATACTGACTTGTTATGCATGCTGGTGTGGGACACTGCATGTTAGTCTGTTTTGACATCAATATAATATATAATAGTGTTAATATACATATTTAGAGTCTAGCTGTAGATAAACGGTTTGTTCTCGAAGAAAACGTGTTAAATAATGTCAAGTAATCAAACTCTAAGTAAGTGTTATATGATCTGTGATGGGTATATGACTGCATGTGCATATCAGTGTTTATGCCGTGGTTTATAGAATTATCTATGACTATGTTCGTGTTATAAAATGTGTGCTGTATATCAGAAAAATATTTTTATAAATATTGCTGTTACCCCATTGCTTTAATTCATGGAAGCCGAAAAAAGGCTAAAGCCGTGATTGTATATACCCGCCCTGATGAGGCTGAGAATTTTTGTTCATTCATCTGCAAATTTTTATACTTTACTACCTGAACCTACCTGAAAACCTCAATACCTATCTATAAGTTTAAATAGATGAACTATTTAATTAAAAGTATTTTCAAACACTGATAAATCATCGACAGTTTTAAAGTGAGCATTCAGTCTCTGTTTGGCAGTGTCCACATGTTTACATTGTGATTTGTGGCAAAAAGTTAATACGTTTCAAAATTTTATCAACTTTCAATAAACAAGACGGGTACTATTAGTAAATCGACACAAAGTTTATCAACGTTTGCAAACAACAAATCTAATTCAGAAACAGATAAAAGCAAAAATACTTAAACGTTGACCACTGACCGGTTTGATATGAAAATATGTTTGAGAGAGAATATCCATGCAACTTCAAACTTTAAAGTATACGATTTTATTTGTCTCTTGACTTGACTGTTGATAAAATGCTACAGTGTTTTTGTAATTTAAAAGCAAACAGAAGTATAAAATAGAAGTTAGGGGGCGCTTCGAACTATGTATCGCAAAATCCCACTCCTGGTATCATAGGTACAATCATGGAAATAATATCCGTAGACCTTTTTAAAACGCATCTTGTCTTACTATCTTGTAAAGCCATTTTATTTTTAGTTAATACAAACGTCCATGATCGCTAGAAATAGTAACTCCCCCCCTCCCCCTACCACAATGTTTGTTCAAACCATGGTTATTGGACCACAAACCAACATTGTAAACGGGGAGGGGGGGAATTGGGAATTTTTTGAAAAGTCTACGAATTAATTTCCATGATTGTAGCCCAGACACACTGTGCGATTTAAATTTAAATACTAGGCATACCCTATTACCCCCTGCGGTGTCGACCTCAAAATAATAATGGCAACGATTAGCTCAAAAATATTCTGAATTTTTACACTAAAATGTATCACCAATCCAATACTTATCGTCGAAGGAAATATACTTAGGTACATGCATGAGCAAAAATAAATAGTTTATACCTTTAGTAGAAGCACTTGAAATCCAGCTTTAAAATCAACTGACACTCAGGGCGACGCGGCGGAGGAGGGGGAAAGAAGACAAGGTTGGCAACATCCATTGGCCAAGCTGTACGTATCATCAAAAACAAACCTTTCTAACTCAACAATACGGAAAGCTTAGCCGAAAATTCTACAACAGCTGATAAAACAACTATCTTGCTTTCAACAACTATCGTACTGTCCTTTCAAAATTTGAAAGTTTCCCTTTGCAGAAATTTTACTTCAAACCACGGCCTCCACACAAAATTTACGATGTGACCAGGCGCAAGGTAAACAAGGTTCACAAACGGTAAATTTTAAATTTAAATCTCGCGCCTAATTGGATAAGCGGTACGACGTTGCGAGAAGTCACTTGATTCAATTACGCTTATCCAATTAGGCGCGAGATTTAAATTTAAAATTTACCATTTGTGAACCTTGTTTACCTTGCGCCTAGTCATATCGTAAATTTTGTGTGGAGGCCGTGATTTGAAGTAAAATTTCTGCAAAGGGAAACTTTCAAATTTTGAAAGGATGAAAAGGACTACATTGTTGGAAAACAAGATAGTTGTTTTATCAACTGTTGTAGAATTTTCGGCTAAGCTTTCCGTATTGTTGAGTTAGACGGGTTTGTTTATGATGATAAGTGCAGCTTGGCAAATGGATGTTGCCAACCTTGTCTCCTTTCTGCTCATCCGCCGCGTCGCCGTGAGTGTCAGTTGATTTTAAAGCTGGATTTCAAGTGCTTCTACTAGTAAAGGTATAAACTATTTATTTTTGCTCATGCATGCTATGTACCTAAGTATATTTCCTTCAACGATAAGTATTGATTAGTGATACATTTTAGTGTAAAAATTCATGCAGAATAGTTTTGAGCTAATCGTTGACATTATTATTTTGAGGTCGACACCGCAGGGGGTAATTAAGTATGCCAAGCATTTAAATTTAAATCGCACAGTGTGTCTGGGCTACTATGCTGGTATTTGAAATTTAACATTTTCTGTGGAAGCATGTAATTTGATACTTTGCCACTCCCCCTTGGGTAATTAATTTTTGTAGGGTCACGTGACCAGACAATACCAGGGTCTTTCCCAGTCTCGTTCCCCGAGCATGCCCGTTCGCAGGTTAAGGGTGGGCATAGCTCTGGAGAAATCGAATTGATTCACGTTGAATTTCCAACGTGAGTTCTACGCATGCTCAGCAATTGTTGCAAAATATAAATAAAGTATTTAGAATTTCTCGTCGAAAATTTGATACTTTTTACACTGAAATCGGATTGAAAACAACTAAAAATTATGAGGAAATATGTACGAAAGCTTCGGATTGATAGGGATACAACTACCTGAAAAATACAAGGAGAACTTCGACGTTTCGAGGGAAGGCGCTTCGACTTGTCACTTGTACTGTTAGTGTTTATATACATCGTACTTCACCTTTACTGATAAATCTCCTCAAGAATGAGTATTATATATTTTTATGCTTTAAAATTTACATTTAACTCTCCTGTCAGAATTTATGGTATACGTAGTGTTAAGTACGACAGTATAAAAGGTCAAGTACTATATATAAACATTAACAGCACAAGTCGAAGCGCCTTTGCTCGAAACGTCGAAGTTCTCTTTGTATTTTTCAGGTAGTTGTATCCCTATCAATCCGAAGCTTTCGCACATATTCCCTCCAGAATTTCTAGTTGTTTTCAATCGATTTCAGTGTAAAAAAGTGGCAAATTTTCGACGAGAAATTCCAAATACTTTGTTTATATTTTGCAACAATTGCCAAGCATGCGTAGAACTCACGTTGGAAATCCAACGTACTATCTGCCGTTAGCCAATCACAGGCCTGAATCAATTCGATTTCTCCAGAGCTATGCCCACCCTTAACCTGCGAACGGGCATGCTCGGGGAACGAGATTGGGTCTTTCCCAAAAAGACCCTGGGTACGAGGATGGTCCAAATGTTGCTCTTGATACTTCCGATATGCCATGACTTCGATGAAAACTTCTAAAAGATTAATCTCTCGTTGTCATGTAGAAAAGTATAGCCAAGTTAGAATATAAACGTTTCGAAGTTTGGGCGAATTGGAAAATTCATCTCGGCGCAATTACAAGTTTCTCGGATTTGTCTTGTGTTTACAATACATTCAGAAGTGATTGCTCAAACAGCAAATTAGTTTACTTTGAAGCTAATATTTCGCTTTCTAAGCCACAGTATTATATAAAATTTTCCGTCTTCCGAGTTCTGTTGTCTTAGAAAGATAAACAACCGTCAAAAGTTCAAATGTCAGCGAAATATATTCGGCATTTGATGCTGTCTGGCCTAGATTCATACAGTATAAATATGCCATCCTGTCCGCGTTTTAAATATAACCGAAAATCTTGAATATCCAAATCTGATCGTATCATTAATGGTGCATTTTATTAACTGGACAAGTATCAATATCTTTAAATTCAATTTATGTGCAATTTTGACCAAAATTCAACCGACTGCTTTCAAAATATTTATTACACTGACCTGAAAGGTCAAGTGTCTTAAATCCCTAATTTTCTGTTTTCTGTTTTCGTCGAGAAATGGAGTTTGCGTTAGCGCATCGCAGGCTCAGGGTGCAACGATTAAGCCAAAATGCCATCGATTCTTCAATTCCACGATTTATATATTATAGTAACGAGCTCGTATTTATGTACGTAATAGCCGGCTCATGCCATGCTTGTGGTACACTTTCGTTTATTAGCACATATATAGACTTCTACGCACGCGCACAATTCCGAACTCCAAGTGTGACATATTCAGTCAAGTTTCAAAATGGCGGCTTTTGGCTGAGTGATCAAAATATATATCACACAGTTTCGTTGAATTTTCGAAGAGTTGTGCCGGTTTCCTATGGATTTTACGTTGCGTCGCACTCTGGACTTTCTTGCGTGTTGAATTAATGTGTTTTTCTTTGTGTAACGACTCGAAAACCCCAAAATTTGGACCAGCGAATTTTTAAGATACAATGTAGTGGGATATACAATGTAGAGGAATTGGCTTTAAATTAATAAACAACTATAAATATACGTTGTAGACTGATAAACGTCCGTTGTGTACTTGTGTTCATTTTTGTGTCGCACTCTGGACTTTCTTGCGTGTTGAATTAATGGTTTTCTTTTTGTATTAAAATTAAACGACTTGAGAACGCCAAAATTTGGACCCAGCGAATTTACACAGTATAGTGGAATATAAACAAAGGACAAGCTAAAGGTTGACAGCTTGACTATACAATGTAGTTTTAATTCATTAAACAAAATCTCCTAATTCCTTACGATAGTTTTAGCCAAATATCGGCAATATATCTTACATGGATGTATTAAAATTCGCGCAGTACTAGAATTCGTGTAGCGCTGGGTTCGCAAATTTTAGTACTGCGCGAAATATAATCCGCGCAACAAGCTTTGTGGTAGCTACAGTAAAGATAAAGCGTGCGTTCAAAATACCAACAAGGACTAAAACATTTATTGTATGGTTCTCATTTGCCTATAATACAATAGCATTAGTTCGACGCGAATTTTAATACAAGTAAGGTATGGTATCATATTTCATAATATAAGGAACAATGTAAACTAGCCATACATTTCGCCGAACATATAAACTTCGGCCCCTTTGGACATATCTTTTTCGTAATAGTATTATTGGAACCGGAATCCAAAACACTATTTATATAGTGTTATTTTCAAGCTTGTGTCTTCAGATTTTTATCTTTTATTTCGGTATTTACAGAATATTTATATTTCTAGCGCCGTCCATGAAACGTACATCAAAACAATGCGCGGTTTAATTAAATCGTAGGGGTCGTCTGAAAAACCGGATATCGCGATTCTGTAGGTCAAAGTACTCCCAGTGGCAAGATCTGCACGTGCATCGATCGGGCTATAAAATATGGCCAAGCATCAGCGTGGCGCGTGCGTGCGAGTAAAAACCCGATATTCTGAAAAATTCAAAATAAATATTTCTACTCTGTGCCGTATTCAAACACAACCTTGTACATGAAAGCGCTTGAACACAAGACGTATTTTATTCACATTGACTTTCAACAAATCCTGAAGAGTTTCAGAAGATATTCAAATTTTTTTCTCGATACAGAATTTTTTGGCAAGCGGTGAGTAAAGATATGATTGTTTTGGTTTGTGTAATGTTTTGACGGCACTTGTCCGCCCCCCCCCCGCATGATTACACTGATGGTGCTTTTCGTTTTAAAGGGTGTAAATGCAGCCAATACTGTCTAAAATAGATAGACAGTAAATACTAAAGTAGGGTGCATTGCTAGCTAATGGACATCTACAAATGTACTAATGGACTGTTCGATTTTGACTTTAAACTAACGACTAACAACTGTATTCATTCCTACAATACAAGATCCTGCAACAACCTAGCTTCATCTTCCAAAAGCCAACACGAACTGGGGTAAACTTAGACCGACTTACTACGCTTCGATGGACCTCAACAATTTGAACAGCTCAGTTGCAAACGCTAGTTCCCTGTCTCAATTTCAATTAAATCTACTTCGTACTTAGACACAGTTATTGCATGCTTGATACTTATTTTAAATATATGTGTACAGTTTAGTTCGGGTGTGCACCGTGTCTCTACGCTTAATTTAATTTTGAGCATTTTTATCTTAACTTCTGACTTCTGAATCTATTGATTCTTTCCTACCATTTGAGGCACGTTGCATGCTTACAGACTAAACTAAATTACATTTTTATGAATTATAAATTAATGGTCTATTTATCATCGTTGTAACGTGCATGTATATATTTGTATATTTTTGTACAATTTAAATATTGACAATAATTAATATTGTAAATAATTGTAATTCTGATGCAGGACTCCACTGAAAAACACGTAAGTGACGTGGGTTATCCTGGATAAATATAATTATTATTATTATTATTATTATTATTATTATTATTGGTAGATGTGTTTGTTAATTTAAACCATTTACTGGCAGTACGCTACCACTGACAAGTAAAATCGTCTGGCGGTACACGGTGTACATTTGTCTGGCGTTAGTCAGAGTTATTACTGAAAGTAGTGCAGTGCATTGCCAGCTAATAGGTAGAATAGTATACCATAATATCCACTTTTGACTCAATGGCCTCATTTAGGCCTGCCATGCTACCAATGATGAAACGTGGAAATGAGGTCATTGGGTCAAAAGTAAACTTCCCTTTAGAGAATTGTTTAGAAATACAAATTAACTTTTGCACTCAGTTCATGTGGCAAAACGGCAGCACTTTCCTTCCGATAGTAACTCCTAGTTATAGATTTGCACCATAGTCTCCCGAAAAGGTCTTTTATTTTTCCAAAAATCCATACAATTTGCTTGCGGTTTACAACTTGTATTCTTGTCTATTCAGCACGTATGTCGTCATTTTCAGGTCAGTGTGAACGCCTGAGTATAGTCCTCCTAAATCAACTGACGTCAC